CATTCAGAGGCATTGTTCTTTATTTTCCTGTAGCTCTGGCCCTCATTAGCCTCCAAGCCAGCAGTGCTTGCATGCCAGTGGGTAAGGAGGGAGTGAGGAGTTGGTGTTCCCTGCCCTCTGGCAGATGGCACACGCTCCTTTCACAGCAGCTCCAGCCCTTCCCACTGGGAGATGCATGCAAGTCTGGAAACTACCAAAGCACAATGTGGAATCTATTTCTGGGTAGTGTAGAGCATGTCCCCTTCAAATCCATTGCAACTACATCTAGCAGTGCTGTTTGCTGCATTTTTTAATGATTGTTGCAGTAGCAGCAGTGAAAGCACCAAAGGGGGAAGCTCTCAGGGTGTGCAGTGTCCCTGGCTCAGCAGCACTGGGGGCCACCAAGCCTTTGCAGAGCTTTTGTGCAGAGATCAGGAACAGCTTCATCAAGCATCAGTGTTCTTCAGCTGAGCACTCTTGTACGTTAAAGGGCTAATGAAGATTGAGAAATCAAAAAGCAAGGGCAGATTAAAAGTTTAGTGAAATTACTACTATGGATTACATGGATTTAGTTTATGGGGTGTGCTCATTAAGGAGGAAAACATGGGGTTTGTGTTGTTTTACTTGAGCAGAGTTTCACTTTCATCTTCCGTACTTCTCAGTTTGGTAGAGAAGAACAGGGCTCATCTGAGGCCAGAATTTGGCATTTTAAGTTCAGATACAGCTAAATCCTTTTTGGGCCCTCATGAGTAATGGTCCCTGTTCATTAGGAGAGTTTGACAGGGTAATTGCTTGAGGTGGCATCTCCTCTCCTGAAATGATCTCAAACAAGTGGGTCTTGCACAAGGTGGCTCCTTTTAAAGCCCAGGAGCCCTGGTGCAGTTGGAGCATTGAGCCAGGTGGTGTGAACGTCATTCCATGGCAAAAGGGGGGAAAAAGCAACTTGCAATAATGCATGTCAGGTTTGTGGGGCAACATCCTGCACTGAGACCCGCAGCACCTGTGGTGTCTGCAAGACTTCACAGTTCCCTGCTAGGCTCCAGATTTTGGCCCTGGCTGGAGATCACAATTAAAGGTGAAAAAGGTGTCTTGATAATGCTTAAAATCTAAAAAAAAAGTGCAGATATTTTTTCCATTAGCTTACCTCTGAATTTTTGAGTTATTCTTTTCTTAAAAGATTGTCTGAGGTTGTAGTTTTAAAAGAAATAATTTTCCATGTGAAGAAGGAACAGCCATAAGGAGAGTAATTATAATGGCATTTGAAATAATCCACTACTATTTCTTTGCCAAAACATCCCTCTGTTCTCATGTTTTGTTTTCCCAAGCTCTGAAATTTGTCCTGCAGTTTGCTAATGTTAAAAAGACAGACTAATCTACTGACATATTTCCAGATCAAATGTTTCTGTTTTCTAGCAATAAATTTGGCTGCCCTCCGATAGCAGTGATTTGTTTGAAAACCTAAAAATCTTTAAATGTTGCTAATTGCTCTGAAAATGTTAAATTAGACTTTTGAACAGGAACATTTGCAAATGGAAAATGTTGTACATTTAAACTTTGTAATGCTGGCTTTCCAAATATTCCTTTAATATTCAAATCAGTTGCATCAGTTAAGCAAAACCTAGAGGTAGATTTGGACTCCCTCTCACTTTTTATTGCTGGCCCTAACACACAAATCAGAGAGGATGTATTTCTAATGCAAGAATGTTCTCCAAACCAGTAAATCTGGGATTATCTCTTCGGACTGATTATGTCAAAGCTCTTTAGTCACAGCACTTTTGGAGAGCTAAAAATAAACAGCAGCAGGGTTTATACATTTATTCTCTACCTAAATAATCTGCACGTATTGTGTGTGTCTGTCTACAATGTGAGACGTGGTATCTGGACTTAATGTTTATTTATAAGAGCTCTTTTCCTAGGAAGGATTTTGGCAAAGGGTTTAAACCAAACTGTCTTAAGAGAATCACCCATGGGATAAAGTCTAGAGCAAATTGAAAGGAGCTGGGTTCAAACCAGAAGTGCTTGCAGCAGCAGCTTGACAACAGAGCAAAACTTGGCCCCACGTGTCTCGAAAACAAATGAAAACTGGTTCTTTTCTTTCTTAACAGTGATGAAACAATCTTATGCCATCAAATACAGAGAAAGGTAACCCAGATTTCAGTGCCACAGTTTTGCAGTGTTAAAGATCTGGGAATTTTGTGCATTTAATTTGTGTGAGAGCAGACTGAAGTTCCTACAGCAGTAGCAGGAAGTTGGGCATGCTGTCATTTGCCTCCTGGCCCTGAAGAATGTAGGAGAAAAATCTTCTGAAGAAGAAACACTTTACAAAGAATTTTTAGTTGGATACGTCAAAGATCTGTGGATGCCTCTCCATGTAACTCTTTACTCCTGTGCAGTCTCTCCCATTTCACAGGGTGATGCTGCATGCTCAGGAGAAAATGGAGCCAGGGCTTCAGGTACACAGCAGGTCAGGGCATGCTGCATGAGGAAACAAAATGGGAAAAAGAAAAATATTCTAAAATCATTTTGTTCTTGTTTAAATTCAGCAGTGGATTGCTCAGAAATGGTTTGATGAAAGTAGGCAATATAAACACTTAAAATAGTGCTGGAGGCATAAGTCTTGCATTGGCAGAGGTGGAATGGATGGAATCCAGTTCATTCAGCTCCCGTAATTCCGCAGGTATTGGAAGAAGTTCTGCGTGTTATACCAATAAATCACATGCTGGGACTTCAGTTTGGAGCACATCTCCAAAACTAAGCCTTATTGACTGAATCAGTTAATTGGGAAACAAGGCATTTCCTGACATTGTAGAAAACATTGCACAAATATGCAGCAAAGATATTTTTCTGAGTATATTTACAAATGTAAATATACTCATAATATAAATATGAATGCATATATTTTCCTATGTTGTGGAATAATGGGAACAGTGTTCTTGGTTGCACAGACTTTATTACCAAGTCTCTCATGAAACATTGTAAAACAGCTCTTCATGTTCATGTTGGCTGTCACCTGACTTTCTACAGGTAAACATTGGAAATGTTTGGCAAGTTGCTCGTATTCCTAGTAAAAAAAAGTACATTTGCTTTCTTGGAATGAAAGAATTACTGTCCTTAAGAGTGGTCATTGTCTGCCGCAGTGTATTTTCTGTAGGAACGTGTTTTTCATTTTTCCTTTTAACTCCTGTGAAACTGATCCTACAACCCCAGTAATGCCTATTTTTGTAACAAAAGAAGGAATGGAGTCCATCCAGTCCTGCTCCCACCAACAGAACATTTCTGAATTGGTTTTACATCTAACTTGAGCTTTGGGGTTTGATTTTTTTTTCTTAATATTTTTTTCTTAATTTTTTTTTTTTGGGTTTTGTTGGGTTTTTTTGTGTGTGTGGTTTTTTTTTTTTTTTTTTTTTTTTTTTTTTTTTTTTTTGTTTTGTTTTTGGTTTTTTTTATTTTTTTATTTTATGTATGAGAATAGAGGGTATGGCCTTTGTGTTCCCCTTTGTCTTCCTTGTGTGGTCCTTGCTCAGGCGTTGCCTCAGCTGAAGTAGTGCCTGAATTCACAGGTTACCTGTTCAGAGCAGGGATTTACATTAGGATTATATTTACCTCTTGGTGAACAGTATCATCCTCATCACACCCAGCTGATTCTAAGCTCAGTGCACTCAGCTGAAAGGTGTGATAGTATGATCATGGTGATGAGAACAGTGATCTCAAACCCATCACTCAGTGTGGTGGAACAGTGACTCAAATTCCTACTTCAATATATCTGTTCCTGCAATCAGTTATTCAAGGGAGTGTTCTCACACTGAGAAAGACAAAACCTGTTCTCACTTGAAAAGGTAAATCCAGAGTAGTTCCTTCAAATTTAATTAAACCAATGCACCTGGAAAGTGAATACAGACCTGGGCTTTAGGGACACTGTTAGGACGTGTGAGAAGAGCCATTTGTCCTTTGTGGCATTTATTATACCTACAATATTTTTCAGCTTGTTCTTGTAGTGAACTTATATTACAAAATTAATCTTTGCACTGACTTTACTATAAAAGCTGTGAATTTATTAGCAAGATTTTTTTTTTCCAAGTGAAAAGAAGCTATTTCCTTTCCCAAGAACACATTATTCCAGAAGGGAGAAGAGGCAGTGTGCTGCCCACGCACAGCATGGCTCACATGCACACACCACTCACAAGGTGTGCAGTGTTCTCACCACACACTCCAAACCTGTCCATGTGTCTGTCCTTACTGAGCCCTGCTTGGGCTCTTTCCATTCACACAGAAGCTTTCCAGAGACTATAAAGCAGCTTAGCCTGCATGTCAAGTGTAGGGTTTAAACCTTAAAAATCAGCATGGATGGCCTTTTATTGTGTGGGTGAAGACTGTGGGAGCATGTCCAGAATTTGGGCTAGAGAACATGTAAAAAACATTTTTTTTCTTTTTTGTTCTTTCTGCAAGAAGATAGTTAATGATGCTAGAATAGTAATAATGGAGTTGTTTGGGTAGAAATGATCTTAAATTCCCCCTCATTCCACCCCCTGCCGTGGACAGGGGCTCCTTCCACTCTCCCAGATTGCTCCAAGCCCCAGCCAGCCTGACCCTGGACACTTCCAGGGTTCGTGTTCTGAAGAGCTGAGTGTGCTTTACAATGTGATCCCACATTTGCTCAACTTCCTCTTGACCACCCTGCCTCCCTCAGGCTGTAACCAGTGAGATGGCCGTGTTAATATCCTGCTGTGTTAATTGTCTGCAGCTCCAGTAATTAACAAGAAATGTCACCAGTCTGTGTCAGGAGTCTCATACAAAAGAATTCTCTTTATTGCATTGGGAATTGGAACCTCCAGTCCGGGTTCTGGCTCTCTGAAGACTCCACATTTTGTTTTTAAAAATCTTGCAGTTAGCAAGAAAAAGACAATTCTGTGTTTGAAGGTGTCATAATGGTTGTTACAACTCCAGACTCCACCTGGAATTCCTTGTTTTGGGATGGGTAAGCCTCTTTTGGGTTGCTGATAGCATTTCTTGTTGGTTTTTAGCCACGTGACGCAGACAACGTCCTGGATCCATCCTGTCACGAGCGCTCTGGGCTTGCTGTGCTCCGAGGAGGAGGAGGATGGCATCAGAGACCTTCCCGGGCCCAGGAGCTGAGGACAGCTGTGGACAGAGAGTAGTTTGTCTGGTTTTAGTCCCTTAGTGAGCACATGCACAGGTTTTAGTCTACCTGCTTTCTAGTGTGATGTAGTAGTACCTGGTGACATTTCTCCTCAGCAAGCTGGACAAAGTTCTGCTGGTTTTGAGATGGGTTTGTTGATGTGTGCTACAAAGGATGCAGGTGCCACAGGAGTCCTTAATTTGCCCCATTTTGGTGTGGCAGGGATCTCACCTCAGGGCCCATAATTTCCCTGACCTGAAGCTGAATTTTCCAGGTCAGCTGAAATTTTCACAGCTCTGAGCAACATGAGATTTAAGATGGGACCACTGGTGGTAGATTCCAGCTGATGGTTGACTGAGATGCAAAGTGAGGTGGGGGTTTTGAGCCAATGCTAGTGAGAATAATGGAGATGACTTAACTGAAAAATCTTATTTCTATGGGAGAAATCTTCAAATAAGTTTTGCTACTGGAAATTTAGTGATTTATTACAAATATTGGAGCCCTGATGACTTTTTAAACAAATACTCACTAAGATTGGTTGTTGAGCTTTAGAAAATGTGTCTTTGATAAGTTGTCAAGTAAAAAGAAAGTTTTCATAGAGGACATCATACTCTGACAACAATATGAGGCAATATGAAAATTATTCTACTTTTGTACTCTGCTAAACTGATACAAACACACATCAAATACTTCAGTGGAAGCTGTGAAGTTTCAAGTACAATGAAACCTGTGAAACCACCTCCAGGATCAGCAGAAGTCAGTCACCTCCTCAGAACTGGTCTTTTAAGTAGAACAAAATCATTTTATACACATCGGTGATGTTTTAAAGAGGATAAAGAAAATTATGGGGGGTGCTAGTGCAAGTTAAATGAACAGGTTTCTGTGTACCTCAATAGCACAGGATATTTTAAATCTCATCATTCACAGCACAATGTCTGATGTCAGCTTTGTCAAATGTATGGTTCTGTGCTACATTTTTCTGGAGGCTCTTTATATGTGTGTTGTGTATATAATGGTGGGTGTTACTAATGAATGAGACACACCTGAACCTGCAGAAGCACTGATGGATGGTATGCCAAAGGAAATCTTTATCTCTGCTTCAGTCCAGGAGGGAGAAGGGGATTGTGGCAGTGTGAGGAAGGCACAGGCTGCAGTCACATTTTTTGAGGTCTGGCATTGGCATTCAGCAGGTGTGGCACTGGAGTTAAGAATCCTTGTCCTCTGAGGAATGACAATCAAAACCAGACTCACTCTCAGTTCTGGTGCCTTGACCATGCTCTCTGTCCTCAGCAGTGCAGAGCTGTGCCAGGTCAGGCTCACTGGAACAGTTGATCCTTTTGAACCAAAATAATTCACCTTTTTTTGAAATCCAAGTCAGGCCTCTGAATAGCAGCGCAGTAATCTCCTGCACTTGGCCAGAGATCTGGAGAGCACATCACCAAATGTTCTTCCTGAAGCTCACAAAAGAGGCCTTTACAGGCTTTGCAGGAAGTAGATGTCAGGGTATATTGAATAAGCAAATAGGAAAAATTTGTTTTGTACTTTCAACTAGGTCAGACCCAAATTATCTGTGAATCTACACAGGTGGTGTGGATTAGGGGAAAAAAGCTTGCTCAGCAGACCCACAGTAACTTACATTTCTAAGAAAACTTCTCCTAGGAATAACACATGAATGGTTTAGCCATATTTGCTCCAGTGGTTCCTGCATGCTCCACAGACTCCTTTGTGCTCCCAGAGAGCTCAGGCCAAAGGGACAGAGCATGTGCTTCAGTTTCAGACTTGGACACTCCAGAATCATTTTTATTTAAATCCCTTTTCTCAGATTGGCACAGACTCATGACCTACAGAAGATATGTCATCTGAATTCCTTGTGGTATTTGCTGTAGTAGTGACTTGGATGCTTTATAACAGCACTTTCTGTTCATACTTCAGGGATATCCAGCCTGCACACAGATTCCACTCCCCAGTTCTGCTCAGCAGAGGTTTGAGCCACCACTTGCCTCTTGCAGCCTGGTGGCTGTGTCAGCCAGCTGGGTGCTCCAGAGGGGAGCAGCTTTTTAGGGATGGGGACTGTGGCTCAGGCAGGCTCTGCACGAGCAGGGGCTCCACGGGGAGCAGCTTAGAGCTGTCCTTGTGCTGGGGGACAGCTCTGCACGTGCTGCCCTTCCCTTCACCCACACCCTCAGAGTGTGCAGCCTGCTGCGCATGGGGACAATCTGCCTGCTCCTCTCACTGCCACCTCCCACAGACCCCAGTGTGACACAAACCTGGAGCCTCTTCCTCTCTCTCTCTCTTATAAACTTGCCTAGAAATTAAAGATGTTAGAAATAGATCTCTGCATCTCTTCTGCTGCTCCAGTGAGCGTTTCTCTCCTCAGATAATCCACCCGTTCACATTCTCTGGGGTTGAGAATACATTTTCTTACCTACAATCTCCAAATGTTCCAATCTATTTTTGTACACTGGTATACTTGTTTCCTAGGTTATTTCTCTTGATCTCCCCTTATCTCTTCCTTTATGTGAAATAGTTTTGTGAAAATTATTTTGCTTAGGCTGAACTGTGTATATTTGAGAAAATGGTTCTAGTATAACTTGGAACAGAATTTGTAAAGAGCAGCTTTCAACATATGCAGCACTGTAAACAGCAATTTTTCATTTTTATTCCTAAATTTTAAAAATTAAGTGGAAAAGATACTAAAGTGCATGTGACAGCCTTTAAGTTAATAAAACTACACCTTTATATTATAATGAATCTGCCCCACATAACATTCTCCATCTGTTGAAGAGCCTCTTGTAACAGACTGCTTTAGGAATGGTTTGGTTCATTTCTGACACTTCAGGAAGTACCTGGTGCCACTGAGGTAAGGAAAGGAAAATCCTTTAAGAAAAATATTTGTGGTTGTAGAACAGGCTGGGCTGTGCAGGGCTGACTGTGGGCAGGACTCTCCAGGAGCTCAGGAAATGCTGCTCTGGCTTGGCTTGTAAAATGTTCCATTTTCTGGGAACTGATGGGATTCTTAACCCTCAGCTCAAGACACACAGGACTCCCAACCAAGCTCCAAAATTCGGTGCTTTTTGCAAGCGCTGCTCTGAGTGACTTTGGTGTGGCTCTATTTTAAGCCAGCAGCAAAAATTTAAGTCAGCTCAGGAGCCTTAGTTGAGTTCTGTGCTCCTGGTCCTTGTGTGTTACCAGCACTCCCCACTCCTGCAGGGAGTGAGCCCATCACACCAGTTCAGACTGGCACCTGTCAGGCCAGGCACTGGGGCCAGCTTTGCAGAGATGTTCAGCAGCTTAAACATGTTCGTGGAGTTAATGGGAATTAGGCACCTAACCTACTTAGATGCTGCTATAAATGCTGCTAGGCATGTTTAGGTACCTAAATACCTTAGTAAATCTTTCCCCTGGCTGCTTGCAGTGATAGTGCACCAAAAATCAAATACCAGTGACTAAAGCCTCACCTTTGTCCTCTGTAACCAGCTTTGCCTTTCCCTGAGGATTCTTTTCATATAACACTAAAAATACCAGCTAGCTCACAGGTTGTACCATCCAGGCTCTGCTCATATTTTCTGGTGGCTTGATTATTTATTGCTCATTCTAAATTTTTTCCACCAACTGTGCTGATGTTGGCATGGATTTAATAGGTTGGTACTTTCACAACACTCAGATAAGTTATTTTATTACAAGATAATACAGCTGTTATTTTATTTATTTTATTGCAAGATAATATGCTGTTTACAGCAGTGCTCAAGACTCCAGAGCATTTTTCCAAAGCACACATAAGCTGTGTTCTTCCTTAAGAAGGATGTTGATAGAGACATTGAACTGCAGCTACACAATCCTTATTATTCACTGAGGGCTCCAATGAGGGAGGTTGCTGAAACGACCCCTCATCCTGATGAGGAGGAATGCAATTTCTCCAGCCAGTCACTATGGGGAATTTTGGTTTTATTGTTAGGCTTCTTGGCTAAAAGCAAACCATGAAAAATCAGTAGTTTTGCTGCTGTTTCACATAAGTCACTATTTCACCTTGACCTCCAAAAGCTACGCTCTGATCAGAAACGTCTTCATCTCCTCTCAAGTACCCTGCCTGTCACCTACCCACAAGGCAGTATTTCCCTGTGGTCCAATTATTATTATCATCAAGAACTATCCTTGCTCTTGTATGTGAAGAGAATTCATTAAAAATGATTGAAATGGAAAAAGAAATAAAATTATGTTTCTTGCCTGAAATAGAAATGTAACAATAACAGCACTTAAATGGGAAAGAGAAAGGATCCAAGGAAAGCAAAGTATTGGGGTTCCTGCTGATGTTTTCATTTTCACTCCAAAGGCTGGTAATGCATCCCTGTTCCTTTCCAACCCCACTGTTCTGACAACAGCAGGAGCATGGAGTTCTCCAGGGGCAGGGGAGATCTCAGGCCCTGGCTGAGCTGCACATTTTAATCTCCAGACTGAGCCACTGGGGACCCATCGTTAGGGGCTGTAATTAGCCACTGTGGGGCTGTAATTAGTCACTGTGGGGCTTACGTGTTCCAAGCTAAAGACAGCTGCTCATCACTGATGGCATGGCATGAGCAGGAGCAGAGGGGCCCACTAAGAACCTGCCTGGCACTCTCAGACCATATTACACCATCAATTAAATGCAGAACTGTTGTAAATAATAAAAATACAGAGGATCAGGAAATAGGCACTAACTGTTGAAGTATGGCTGTCTTGTTACTTGGCTAATTGAAAGATGCAACCAAAAGGAATTCTGGTACTAACTGAAATGTGTAAATGCAATTACATCTTACTCCTTTCTCTGCTCAGCTTTGGGCATGCAGTCCAGCCCTTGAGCCTAAACTCTGCTGTGCTTAACCCATTCTGGCTGCAGATGCTGAAGCAGCACAGTCCTGCAGGCTCTGCTCCACTTAGAGTCCTGCAGAGAATGATGCAAAAGGCAAAAATGAAATCAATAGTAAATGTTCACTAACAGGAAAACTCCTGTGGCTGGCTGAGGATAACAGAAAAAATGTTTTACTGCTGTGCTCAGAGGTTGTTTGGCACAAAACCCCGATGTCTGTTTCAGACCAGGTTTGTTATTGTTGCTTGTGCCAGTGTTTTGGATACACAATTTAACCCACCTACAGGAAACTGGAGGAAAAGGCCCTGGTAATTTCACCACATTCATAAGAATGCAGGTTCTCATTTATAAGAAAACTCAGTAGTCATCCTGACTGACATTTTGAACAGCACCAATGGCTGCTCCCAGGGAGCTGTTCTGGGCCCGGGACACTTGCCTGGAGCATGGGGGGAATTAGCAATTCAGCTTCTGATGTGGCTGAGGGAAATTACAGCTCTCCAGGTAAGGAGAAGGACTGAGTTCCTTTTTTTGCTGTAGCCAGAAGGGAAAGGGCTCTGGGGCTGGACTGAGGACAAGGGCACCCTGCCAGGAGCACCACCACCTCCCTGAGCTCAGGAGCTGGATCCCAGGGAGTGTTACCAGGGGAGCTCTTCCTTGCTCTGACAACTTTTAGCTCATTGTAGTGGAAAGCCCTCAATCCAAAAACCAGTGTGCTCTGCAAAGGCACCAACAAGCTGCAGCTGCAGGCAGGGAGGTGAATGAGCAGAGATGGGCAGAGCAGGCTGTAATTCCTGGCCAAAGCCAAGGCCACGGCTCAGCCTCCTCCCTCTGTGCCCACTGCACCCAGAAATTGTTCTTGGATCCATCCATCTGCAGCTCTCCTGTCCTACCCAGTTCTGATCTGATCCCTCCTCTGGAGCAGAGCAGTGCTCAGCTCACTCTCCTGGCACTACCATGTTTCCCAGGGAAGGACTGCAGCTCTAATAGCTCCCAAGTGGGTAAATTGAGTTTGCAGTAATCCCAAATACCTGAGATAAGAAGCACAGCTCTGCCATGGAGGCTGAAGGCTTTAGAAGCAGGGAGGCGCAGGGACTCGGATGGATGTACGTGCCTCATGTCGTGTCTCTGCCAGGGCTGGAGCCTAATTGGATTTCACAAATGTGACTTCTGTGCCTCTTGATCACAAAACCAAATTAGACTTCAAGAAATTCGGAATAAATCCATACCTGAAAGTTTGCCTAAAAAGAAAAAAGAAAGAAAAAAAAAAAAGTCTTATTCCAGCTCTTCCTCTGCCTCAGCAGGGGAACAAAATTAAAACTTCAGAACTATTGCTTTAAAACAAATAAGCAAAGCACAGCCAGCAGATCTGAATTCCTGGGTGCATTGAATAAAATCAGTCATGTGATAATGATGGGATTTTCTAGAACACCTTTTAGGCATGCAATTTCTGCATTAAATCTATTCAGATGTCCCTAGAACATCTGCTTCTGTAAAATGGGAGTAACTGCCACTTTTTACAGTACACTGACAGCTACAGATAAAAGCCTGGTAATTGCTAGCAGGAAATACTGCCTAACCAGAGATTTTCTTCAAAGTTAACTTGCCAAAATTCTTAAGACTATTGCACACAATAGCCCTGTGCCGGTTCACACAACTTTGGGAGGTGGAGTACGCGTTAAAATTGTAGGTAACAGTGGGATTGAAACAGATTCCAGCCTCCCTTGAAGGCGGATCAGACGCGGCTGACGCTTGGAGCCGCGGCAGCAGAGGGAGCAGAGCAAATCCCCAGATTTGCTGTTAATGTGACCTGAAATCAGTGGGAGCTGCTTTAGCACGTGGGTGCCATGGGCTGCTCGGCTTCCCTTCAGGGAGACGCGGGAACACCTGCTAAAGCCCCGGGCTGCCCCGAAAGAGAGGAGCCATTTATAGGCACTGCCCGGGAAGATCCACAGCAACGCCGTCCTGGCTGCTTTTCATCTCCTCCCTCTCTGCCTATGTTTATTCATGAATCAGGGTGCAGGGGAGATGAAAAGGCTGCTGGCAGACTTCTCCCCGGAGTCTCCACTTGGAATGGTACCACATTTCCAGGGAAGCCTCACTTGTGCTCCCAGCAAGGTTGATCCTCGTGGGAACACCATCATTCCTCTGCAGCTCTCAAGGCAGGCAAACATTATCTTTATCATCCATACACTGAGGCACACAAAGTCAGTAAATCTCATCTGCTTTGGTGAGAGCCAGAGATGGAGTGAGATTTTACTGCTCTTGAAAAACCCATATGGAAAAATCCATATTTTGATGGATTAGCCCGGTGCCAGGCTGTCCCTCTGGTCTTTACAGCAGCCACTTGAACATCTGTAAAACAGCACCTAAAAACCAGGGGACTGCTGGCATACAGGGCTCGAGCAGAGCAAGCTCTGCTACAGAAAACCCAGCTGAGATCTTTCTTTGTAAAAGGGAATAGCAGCTAGTGCAACAGAAAAGAGAAATCCGTGCCTGAATGAAAGTGACATTAGGGAGGACTTCTGAGCTCAGAATAGCTCCTGCCATCCTCTGTCACAGCCTCACTCCGTGAGCCAGGGAGAGGCTGCCATGGTTCTCAGTTCTTGTAGACAAAGTCCTCTGCCTGGAGAACCTGCAAACTGGAATAAAAATCAGTCCGATTTTTGTAATTTTGAGGGGAAGTGTTAAAAATATTAAAAAGAAATCACATCTCCTAGGAAAGCCTATTGGGTTTTTCAGTTGATTTCAAACTCCCATCTGTTGGTGCTGTTGGTGCTGCTACTGCATCACAAAGGGGTCTCTGCTGACAAGCTTGTTCTCTAAATAAAGCAAAGCCACAGCATTTTATGTCTGCAATCACAGTGGGTGTTAGTTACATGGTCCTCTCCCATGGACTCATGCATGTTTTACTTTTTATTCAAATTTACAAGCACACTCAGACGACAGCAAATCCTATGTTTATTATAAAGCCAGTATTCCCTTTGCAGAAAAGCCAGTGGTATGGACCACCTTAGACCCTTGTCTGACCCTTATGCCAGAAATAAGACATGTCCACAAATTTCTTTGAATTTCAAGCCCGGTCGCTGTGGCAGGGAGCTGTAGCAGCTGCCTTTTAACAGTGAGAGTGAATTGTTGTAGTAGAGATCAAGAGCAACTAATCTTAGCATAACAAAGCCTTTGACTGACTTCCAAAGGACCTCAGTGCAACTCTTAAGTAAATCCGTCTCACCTACTCACAACACAGACCAATCAAGGTGTTTTCTTGCAGGACAGCATCTCACAGTGTCCCCGGACCCCCAACAGCCACGTCCATCACCTGCTCCGAGGGGCTGAGGGTGGCTCAGCTCTCAACAACCCCCAGCACCTGTCAGGATCAAAACCCCCAAATCCAACTGGGGTCTGAGCAGTTTTCCTATGAGGAGCATTGTAAGAGGGTTTGTGCAGAAATCTGCAGTGACTGAGGTCGATGCTGACACTGTTACCGAGCAGACACCGCTGAGCAGCCTCTGAGCAGCTCAGTGAAGGGGCTTGAGGGATGGAGGATCTTCATCCACAAAGGATGTTACTGTGAGGTTTAGAGAAATCTAATGTACTGCTCTAAGACTTCCTACTGGAAACAAGTACCTGGTTGCTGTGTACAAGAGGTTTGCAACCTGTCAGTGTCGTAAAAGACCTTGTTACCTTACATATCTAAGAAATCCCACAGTAACTCTGGCAAATACTCACCTGGCATACAGGAGCTACCCCCTTAAGATCCCCCTACCTGATCCTACGGGAAACAGGGACAAAGAGAGAGAGACAACACTGATGAAAACTCAGTGACTTTTCCAAGATCGTGCAGCAAGTGGTGGCAGGGGTTGGAGAGCCAAGGTCACCAGCCTGGTGCTTTCACCCCTGCACTGAACTGTCTCAATAAGTGAAGGCTCTGGATCAAGTGTAAAGGTTTAAATTACAAGAAAATTTTATTCTTCAAAAACTGTAGTAAAAAAAAAAAGGTCTCAAAACTTTTTTATCTCCTGCTCAAGAAAATAAAAAAAAAAAAAAAAAAAGGTCTCATAACTTATAACTTTTTTATCTCCTGCTCAAGAAAATAAAAATAATAAGATGATATGAGCTTCTAGCAGAAAGGACAGGTTTTCCAGGAAAGAATTCACACAATATAATAGTTGACAAGTCAGTTAGATAATGACCAAGACAAAATAATGATGTTGGATATCTGAGCAAAGCATCAGAGAAATGTTCCCAAAATCTTGTCTAAAAGTCTGCAGCAGCTGACGTTTTGTTTCTGTTGCATGGAAGCTTCTTGGCCATGGAGGGATTGCCCTGCCCGATGGCTCCAGGACAAAGAGGAAG